ATTAGACCCCTTGGTTTTCCAGGTCTAGTGAGGCTATGGATGGCAGGCTGATCACTCATAGGAGTTCCTGAATCATTTTGTGTAAGAGGCAGGTTGAGTTATTCAACATAGACTATAGGGTACAGAGAACTGTTCCCTTGGGTTGTAGCAGACTGTACAGAATGATCCTATTTGAGATCACCCCCAATGCAACCAAGATGGGCTTTTGTGATGAGGAAGGCACAGAATCTTTGGACTCTGCTAGGAACGGAGGTGTCAGCCTTGACAAGTGGTGGACTGCGTGCAGGTGGGTGTTGGAGGAGGATGTCATGCCTTCTCTCTCCAGCAGGATTGGGAAGGTCAGCCCGTAGGACCCTCTCCAGGCCAAGTGGGAGCCGAATGAAGAGCCCTCTGGTTTGTCTCTCTTGCTCCAAAGGCCTGACTTGTCTTAGAGGCAGCACTATGCATCAGAGACCTTGGATCTGGGACTCACACGCTCTCATTACTGGACAGTGAGAGCAATCACAGGGCCCAGCGGGTCAGATGTGCCCTGTGCAAGTGAGACTTGACACGTGGGGTGAATTCCGTGTGAGCCCCTCAGGCTACCATCGTTAACTGTGGGAGCAGGAGAACAGGGGCAGCGGGGAGATGGCCTGGAGGCGATATGACTCTGGGCCCAGCTTCTAATGAGCTATGACCAAAACTGGTCAAAAATAGCAAAATATAAGCGAAGGCTAAGAAAAGCAAAGTCGGTCAAAAGAAGACGTCAGAAGGCTGAGAAAGGAAAGAGAAACCGCTAAACACCAAAAAATATGGTAAACTTCAGGAGTTCAACCAAGATTTAAAGTTTATAATCATGAGAGTTTATAAAAAAAAAGTTAGCCTCATAAAGCAAGAACTAAAAAAGTAAGCAAACTTACTTAAGGTATGAGAAGTAGGGGACAAACAAATAATTTTTAAAAACTTGTAAGTTAATTTGAACAATGAAAACCCCTATGGAAAACAATTTAAGGAAAATGTTTAAATGTGAAGGTAAATGGAATTAAAAATAGAGGTTAATGTGCTTTAATGTAAAAAGCACAAGTGATCACAGAATAAGGTATAAAGTAATTTAAGAAGAAAATGGAAATGAGAGACCTGAAGGTCAAACGGCTTGGGGAAAGGTCAGTGAAGGAAACAGGTGGTGGGCCAGCCTTCCCAAGAGCGGTTTCTCTCCTGAACCGACCATGATATTCAAGGTGAAGGTAAAGGGCTGGCTCCACCCAGCTGAAGGGGCCTTGTAGACCTTCTCCCATGAAGAGTGGTTTCTTACCTCCACGGAGGAATGTGGTGGAGCTTGGTTGGGGGCCGGGGTTGTCACCCTCAGGCTGGGGTCTTGTTCTGTGCAGTGTGTGCAGGAACAAAGCTCTAGACAGGCCAATGCAGCCTGCAGGAGAATAACCGCACTCAGACATTTGTGAGCACAAAGCTGGCCCCTCGAGGGGTCATTAGTGAAGTGTGTCACAGCCCCACAACAGCACACCACTTAGCTAGAACAAATGCTCTAGAAAAATATTTGCTGCTGTAAGACTGTTTAAGATATTTATGTGAAAACTGTATTGCAGAACTAGAAGTATGGTATAATTCCTGCTGTTTAAAATATATACAGTATATGAATAGTAAAATAACACTTATTACTACTGTTAGTATCTTACCTGAAGTTAGGGATTCTGGGTGATTTAAAAATTATTATTTATGCTCTTGGGAGTTTCTCTGCAATGAATCCCTATTATATATTATAATCATTAGGAAAAAACTGTGAAGTTTATTTTAAAAGAATAATAAGAACTGGTGTGGGCACATGCTTAGCTTCAGTAAGGTGCTCTTTGCCGGCTCTCCTGTGGGGAGGTGTGAGCGAAGAGGTGACATGACCTGGCTCATGGTGCGGGAGGGCCGTTGCGGCCGCTGTGTTAAATGCTTTACCATGTTGACAGTGTAAGTAAGGGCAGCAGCAGAAACACCAGTCGGGAGGCCTCCAACAGTTTCCCAGGTGAGTGGCAATAGTGGCGTGGACAAGGGTAGAGTAAGCAGAAGGATTGGGTATTGGATTTGATTGGAAACTAAGAGGATTTACTGATGTATTAGATGTGAGTGGTGAGAGACACTAATGCTACATGCACATTATATTTACTGAGAAGTATACTGTAGGCAAACATGTAAAACCTTTTACTGATTGGGAGGCATGATAAAGTGTGGGTTTTCGTACAAATGAAACATCTCTGTAAATTATGTAGTTTACAGGGATGCTGAAGAGAGAGTCCACTCGGGAGGGTTGTCCATGCGGGACTTGGCTGTGCCTTGAAGGTTGGGTGGGACTCAGACAGATAGGCCCCGGGGGCCACTGCTCGGGAAGGAGATGCCTCTGCCCAGGCCTGATCTGCGTGTCAATCTGCATGCAGCCCTGCGTACAGGCAGTAGTTCTGGAGACTGACATAGCAGCAGGAGGCCAGTTTGTCACACCCTTGAATTCCAGGTAGAGCAGTTTAGATTTTTTCTTTAGACAGTGGGGAGGGGGATTAGGAATTTTTGACCAGGGAGTAAGTAATGTGTTTGCTTCAACAATACACTCCTCTAATAAGCTCTGAATGAGTGCCATTGGTTAATCAATGGATAAGATGACTCAGTGGCCAGAATGATTTATTTACTAAATAGGACCATGTCAATGAGTTGGCTTTCAATAGTATATGAGTATATACTTTCAATATATTATGTATACTTATTGATATAGATTTATAAATATATATAAACAGTTATATATAGTATAGTTACATAGACATAAATATATGTATATAACATACATATAAGAAATATAGTTATGTATAGTAGTTACTATACTATATGCAGTATACAGTAGAGTTATATAGATATTCATATATGTGCATACTTATTTCTGTTAATGGGAATGATTCAGTTGAATCAGAGATCATTTTCCTCTGACTACACAGCTGACTTTACGAAGCTCCATCTGCACCTGAGGAAGTAGTTAAGGTGCAAATTTCCCGTCACTGGGTCATGGAGGGTCTCTCCAGCACACATCCCGTGTGCATTGCAGCTTGGAGCTCCGAGAAGCTGTTCTCAGTGCCCCAGGCATAAACAGTTTGGCAGAAATACCCCATTTGTGTTTGTAAGACGGTCGCTTTCATGTGGGAGGAGCTATTTCGGGAAGAGGATTCATGTTGCATTTTGGCCTCATTACAGTTTTAAGTCATGTACAGTGCTGGTTTGCCTGGAGGTGTAAACATAACTTTTATCTTCATATGCATATGGAAATGCCTGGGACTGGAACAGTGCTTTCTATTCTCGAGTTCCATGTTAGGCTATAAGCAGGGAGGTCAACAAGATATTTATTAAGACTCTAATTTAATTTTATCAAAAGCATGCTTCCAAAAGAATACCAGCTATATGAGGCTATGCCCCCTCCACTCTGCATTTCCAAGTGCAAATGTTCAAGCCCAAGAGCCTAATGTCTTGTTGTTACAAGCAGATGGTTCTGTAAAATAAATAAACACTGTGCTTTCTCTACTGAAACTTTGCAAAAAGTGAGATCCTGTGTTCAATGACTGCCTATAGCTGTAACAGGAGGGACAGGGTTCTTCCAAGTTTATTCCTGTGCAGATGACAAAGAAAGGTGCAGCTATTCTGATGATGCCACCTGCTTTCTGGTAAACAAAGTGCTGTTGAAAGGATGTGGCGGACCACTGATTTCTTCAGTGGGGAAAATGCCCGGTGGCACTAGAGATGAGAAACATGTCACACCTGAGTTTGTTATTCCTTAAATATGTTTATTGATTTGTCCCCAAGTAAGAGTTTTAACAGGACAAACACTGGGTTTGGAGTATGGCTGGATTTTTCTAGGAATTTCATAACCTACCTCAAAACTTAAAAATTGGAAATATTTGTTATTTAAAAAATTTATACCTCAGCATGAAAACAATATAAAAAATGACAACAGATTTGTTATTTTTTTCTATAAGCCTATTTTGATGGTGAAACTTTTTGGATAGATTGAAAACCTTCCTGATCTCCTGACAGTAATCCCCCCTCCTCCCACACTTAGACATGTGCTTAAAACATTTATTTTCTTTTTTAAAAAAAATTATTATTTATTTTTAGAGAGGGAAGGGAGGGAGAGAGAGAGACAGAGACACAGAGACATACATCAATGTGCAGTTGCTGGAGGTCATGGCCTGCAACCCAGGCATGTACCCTGACTGGGAATTGAACCTGCGACACTTTGGTTTGCAGCCCGCGCTCAATCCACTGAGCTACACCAGCCAGGGCTAAAACATTTATTTTCTATTCAGCTGTCGGTTGGTGCTTTCCACTTAGGTTCTCACTCAGGCCGTTTACGAAGATTTAGTAATCTTTAAGTAAAATTCCTCAATTAACAACAAACCAGACCTATTGTGAGATCTTTGATTGTAAAGTGGTGATTTGAAAATATTAGTGATTGGAAGGTGCTTCGGAAGCCTTGCCAATTCAACTGAATCCAGCTTCATGGCAAAATCTGGCCTCAGGTTCCCTTAACCTGTTAGAACCTTCCAGCTGTGACAAGTGGCATCCACTTTTCTTCCCTTTTCTTATTGTCGAGGCTATCTTTTATCTCCTCTTGGTTACCCAGTGACCGCCTCAATAACTGCCCAAGACTGCACTCTCAGAAATTTAAATTGAGTGGGTCTGGGTTAGGTCCTGAGCACTTATATTCAAAAACAAAATAAAACCAACCACAAAGTTCTCCAAATAGTTTTGATGTTCGAAGAGAACAGCAGTAAACAGTTAAAGAAAGGACATGATTTGAAACCCAAATGTCGACAAAGACATAATCTCTAAAGTTCCCTAAAGAGTGAATCTTTTTACTCTTTTTTTGGAAGCTGTTGACTGGGTCTCACTGTGGCGCCTGCGGGGTGTGACTGAAGCTAGATAGTGACTGAAACTGAAGGGACATGTTGCGGTACCTCACGTTTCCCCTTCTGTCTTCTCAGCCACCATGTATGTCATGGGAGCTCTTGGTCCTGCGGTGGGATATTTATTAGGCGGACTTCTTATTGGTTTTTATGTTGATCCCAGAAATCCTGTTCACCTTGACCAGAATGACCCTCGTTTCATTGGAAACTGGTAAGAACTGTTTACTAAATTTTTCATTTCACTTATTGTTAATGGTAGAGTCATAGTACCATTGTAGTTAACATAAAAATTTCCTCAGAGGGAATATAAGAAATAGCTTGAAGTCCCCTAGGAGGGAGTAGTCGGCAAAAGAATAATCTCCCAAATCTGTGTCCCAATCCCTAGGATTTATGAATGTGTCACCTTTCATGGCAAAGGGGACTTTGTAGCTGTGATTCAGTTAAGGATTTTGAGATGTGGAGAGTATTTTGGGTGACCCTGGTGGACCCAATATAATCATGAGAGTCCTTATAAGAGAGAGGAGGAGGCAGGAAGTTTGGAGTAAGAAAAAGTGATATGGCTACTGAGGCAGAGGTTGGATTGATGTGCTATGAAGTCAGAGGACCCTGGGCCACGGAAAGAAGGTGGACTCTAGAAGTTGGAAAAGCCAGGAAATAGGTGCAGTTCTGAAGGAATGCAGCCTTGCCAACCCACTTTAGATGTCTGACCTCCAGAACTATAAGATAATACATTTGTACTATTTCAAGGCCCAGAGCTGTGGTAATTTGTTACAGCAATAATAGGAAACTGACATAGAAGGGTTGGGAATAAGAGCCTAATCCCCATTCTTTAGGGTGGAGGCCTTTGTTTTCTTTATAGAAGAGTTCAGGAAAAGAGTGATGTGGCTGTGTTGGGACTTTCCTGACTCCTTTTTTTTTCTTTTTTTAAAGGTTTTATTTATTTATTTTTAGGGAGGGAAGGGAGGGAGGGGGAGAGAGAGAGAGAAACATCAATGTGTGGTTGCTGGTGGTTATGGCCTGCAACCCAGGAATGTACCCTGGCTGGGAATCGAACCTGGGACACTTTGGTTCCCAGCCCGCGCTCAATCCACTGAGCTACGCCAGCCAGGGCTTTTCCTGACTTCTTTAACCAAGGCTTTCATGATCTTTTCTGTACCTTTAAAATTTTTTCTCCCACTTCCCTATTATATTGTGTTTCTGCTTTGTCAACCCTCCCCCACTGGCCAGAACGCTAGCTCTACTTTTTCACTGTCATACACAGTGAATCTTTTCACTGGGCGATAGTTTGTTCTCTCCCTATCCTGGAGATTTAGCTACTCCCTCACTTGCTAGCCTTTAGTTGTCTTGTTAAGTAAGTAATGTTCAGGACACAGAGAACAAGAGCTCCTCTTTGGTCATTAGGTTATTTATTCAGATAACCAGGGCTGTGTTTGAGTCCTTCACAGCCCTCAACTTGAACATGAGTTCTTTTTTCAAGATTTTAAACATTAAGAAGTATTGGTGTACTAAGTTCATTTAATATGGATTAATAATAGGTATAAATAGATAAGAAAGTTTAATTTTATACAAAAGAGAATACTGTAGATTGGACATTGGTGCCAAGTAATTACTTTCTATAGTTTCATAGAGTACTGTGTTCTGTGCTTCCTTAGGAGATAATACACTCAAAACTTGGAGCTTTGTGGGAATAATGTTTAGCTCTGTTTTCAAAGCAGTTAAAATATTAATTAGGTTATAGAACACTTGTTATTTTCATAAGCAATCCTCTTTGAAGATGGGAGTGCTAAGGTCTAGATGACCCTGGCCTGGTAGAATTTTGAAATTATTTAAAAGGAAGTTCCCTCATCAGTGCAAGGGGAATAACACAGGCATTTTCAGTCATTGACTGATAGGGAAATTTTTGGTCTCAACTACTGTTTTCTTGGTATCTTTGAAATAAATCAGAATAAGGATGTTTTTGTTTTGTTCTAAGAGAACTAGATTATTAAAATAGACATAAACATCCAATGTATGTTCTGTATTCTGTATAGATGTCCATGAGAAAAGCATGGCAATACAGGACATCTGGTGGCAGAGAGAAAGGCAAAGGGGACCAACTAGGGGGCAGGTAGAAAGAAGGAGGCAGGAGTTTTCAGCTTACAAGGGCTTCATGCTGTTTTTGAAAAATTTCCCAGTAGACATCAATCCAATTGGTAGCTAAGTGGAGTGATTAAGAGTGCAGAGCCTGAAACCATAGTCCCCTGGGTTTATATCCCAGTCTGCCACCTAATAGCTGTGTGACCTTGGGGAAGTTACCTAACTTCTCTGTGTCTCTGTTGTTATTGTGTTTTTAAATACATAATATGGAAGTAGTTACAGTACCTACTTCACTGGGTTGTGCGGAATGAATGAGTCTATATATGTAGAGCTCTGAATAGTTCTTGCTATATAATGTGTTAGTTATTATTCATTCCTTTGTCTTTCACCAATGTCCAAGTAGTTTTATTCATTTTAGTGGTCCAATACTCGTCCTACAAATAAATTTCTCAGTATAGAAATATATAATAGGAGTCTATTTAAAAATGAATTTTGTCTAATTAGTAGCCCTATTTGTAGGACTTCTACCTTGAACAGAGACACAGTTATTTGATACAATGTTATTTTATACCATGTCTAGTAGAATGATATATTTTTCTATAAATATATGCTGAAAGAATGAAGGAAGGAAGGAATAATGCTAACATTTATTGGGTACTTTCAGGCATTATACTAAGAGATTTACACACATTTTCATTTAAGCCTATAACAACCATATGTAGCCACTAATATTATGCTCAGTGATTTGAATATCTTGCCCAAAGCCTCAGAGTCAGTGGGAGCTGGGATAGACTGAGTGCATGGTGGAGGTCTTAGTCTATGTACTAAATTGACCCCCTCAGTGAGCAGTCTCTGAGTAATGGTTCATGTAAAGGAGTTAGGAACCCTGGCTTTTCCATTTGGACTCTTAGTCATATTTCTTTTTCCAACACAAAATGCACATTTCTTGTCTTACTTAGCTTTTTGCTTTTAGCATTATGATTATTTCATGTGTTAACAAAGATTTGTTACTGTAGACCGTTAAAGAGTGCAGCTGCTTTGCTCTGCTTAGAAATGCCCCCCAACTTTCGTATTACTGTTTATTCTCTATAATTATTCTCCTTCTCGTGTATTTACTCTCACTCTAGGCCACTGTGAGTGTACCTTTAATGTTTGTGTATGATGTAAGGCAATGGCTCTGGCTGGGCATGAGGGATTCTGAGTGCAGAGCTACATAAAAACGAACAACACAAGCTACTATGAAGTGATTGCTGATAGGGCGGGTGTTTTATTAGGTTCCTTTTGTACATTGTCTATTAATTTTGATGACTCCAAAACAGTTATTATCATCCCTCTTTTAGATGAGAAAGTGGGTTCAGAAAAGCACAATAAGTTCCCGAGGCTCTTAGAGCTAGTAAGTGGTAAAGACAGGATAGAAACCCAGGTCAGTCTGGAGCCACAGCTCAAGGACGGCCCCTGAAGCTCCACTGCCTGCCCTCTTATGGAGAGAGCATGAGAGGTCTAGGGATTTGAAGGGTGGGGAGACTGAAGTCAAGTCTACAGAAAGAGATTCAAGAAAGGCTGATGAGCAGGGCCAGGTTAGTAAAGGCCTCATGAGCAGACAAGCGCTAAGTGGGCCGGATGTTTTAGTAGCTATGTTTCCTGCAGACAGATGATTATTTTCTCAAAATTTATCTCATTCGATGTATTTATGTAAGAATTTTTTTCCATACCTAATCTAGGTCAGGCACTGTGTTTGGAATTATATTCTGAATAATTGAGATTGCTGTGAGTCTGTCTTGAGCAATCTTCTCAAAATAAAGCTGCTTTCTGATTGGCTTCAAATCTTTATTTAATATAACTAAATATGATTGAAAATAGTACACTGGATTATTAATGACAGATTCTAGGAATGATTCTCCCAGCTAAACTATGACCTTTAGCAACTAACAATACTATAATTGAAATACTAATTTTATAAATGAATTTCCACTTAGCAACTGGTCTATATTTTTGCTGGGTTGGATCCAACATTCCCGATTGCAATGCTGCTCGCATTGCAGTTACAACTGACAGAGTGTGATGCAGAGGACAGAGCCTGAGCCTTCATGAACTTGGAGACTCTAAGGACAGAGGATGGAGTTGAGGACCCTAGTTTGAAAGAAGTGACTGTGTTAGGTAGGACCAGGGGCTATTTGCTGAGAAATAGGGAAAGAAGAGGGGACTGAGAAATTGCTGCCCCTGGGGACTTATGAGCGCAAGAAGCCTGGGGCCAGAAACACTGAGCTCTGATGCAGGGCTAGAGGTTGAGTTCTACTGTCTGTACTTCCTTCCTAGTTTCTGCAGCATGGTGACCTCTGACCAGTTCAAAGGCAGATTCTTGATTCTGCAATACACAAGTTCCACTTCTCCTAAGAATCTTTCTGACACACATTTCCCCTCTCTGAACTTTTATAGGATACGTGGTCTATACTACGTGATCTAACACTTAACTGTACTTTCTTGCATTTCTTGGAGACATATTTTTTAGTTTGCTTATAACTAGGTTGTAATTATTGAAGTAAAGAATCAAATGAACTGTCTTTGGTGGCTCAGAGCATTCAATATGTTGAGTGCTTGCAGAAAAATATTTGAGCAATTTAAAATACATTTTACATGAGATATTAATGATTTTTCTTCTAAGAAAAAAGTGTCTCTACTGGTCCACAAAGCATGCTACAGAGTCCATATTATTTTTCTATTAAATTTATGAGTTATTGGCTTATTATAGAATGCACATTGTAGCAGAACTAACACATGTGCTTAAAAATACCTGAATGAAGTTCTTGTCAGGTTGTTTATTATAATCTTCATTATAATGCAAGTATAATTATTGGGTAGATTTCTCATTTATACCACAGCAAGGGAAGATTTCTAAACTTTCTTAGTTTGTTCAGCTTCCTACTGTTTTATAGTTGATGAGGGCCGAAAGGTTTTTTTCTGGAGAATTTTATCACCACAAACTTCTACTTTGCTAATTTGTTATCACAATGCAAAAGCCATAAATGCTCTTCACGTTTCCCAATTTTTTAGGTGGAGTGGATTCCTCCTTTGTGCCATTGCAATGTTTCTTGTGATATTCCCAATGTTTACTTTTCCAAAAAAGCTTCCACCTCGACACAAGAAAAAGAAAAAGAAAAAATATTCTGTTGATGCTGTTAGCGATGATGATGTTGTGAAGGAGAAATCGAACACTACTGAGCAAGTGGACAAAAAAGTTTCTATGGGATTTGGAAAGAATGTCAGAGGTAAAGTATGTCTCTTGAGTGAATATGTGCACGGTAGTTCAGATCTGTGTGACTCAAACTGTGGTCCCAGGCCAGTGCTGCCCACCGCTGTCAGTGGTCTGAGATGAGATAAGTACTGAAATCGAGCTGTAAGTATTGTGAAACTTTTAAAGACATTTTGACAGTCATTATGCCTGTTGAACCTAATGGTGACAATAACAAATTGGGCTTGTATTTTGTATGTTTTTTAAAGATTTATTTTCCAATGATTCATCTTTAGTGGATTTTGCAAAAGTATTGGTGCATGATAGACAGGAAATGATAATAATGATCAAATTATTCTTTCCCGCAAATAGTTTGAGAAGCACTACTTTAGATCCAAAGATACATTTATTTATGTCAATTACTATACTTAGAGATATCTGATTTTTAAAAATATTGTACTTATTGCATTATATGATGAATGGTTTGTTACAGGGGAATAGTGGGTTTAGTAATATGGCCTGATCCTTCCTTAAATACCATATAAAGTCTACCACTAGACGGGGACCCCACTCAGCAGTGGCCTGGCCAAATGCTTGTTAAGTGGACAGAGAGAAGGGTAGCCAGAGGCTGAGCCTCCAAATCAGTGTAAAAAGCACCTAAAAAGTCTCAGTGATGTGCAGTGATCTGTTTTTTCATTTTTATTTCTCTTAAAAATAGTGACCTTATTAAAGCTAGATTAGGCCATCTCAAACCTAAACAATTTAACTGAATCTCAACCAGCCAGCCTTTGTTCAGCAGTCAATATATCTGCTGAGTGGCAATAAATCCCTTCAAGAAACCTACAATGCTGCACTCCCATTAGTTTCTGCTATTTCCTGAATTCCCTGAATTGATTTTTGTGAAATTATGAAGCAGGACACTGGTCACACGCTCACTGTTTTAGGTACAATTCACCCAGGCACATTGTCATCTCACTTCGACTACATACGCAGTGAAGCAATAGAGACATCCACCTGGCCGAGCAGGAAGTCACTGCCATAGTACAGAACTGTCCCCACAGCCTAAGAATGGTAACGTTTAGATTGGGCTGTTTTTAATGACTGTACTGTTCAAAGCAAGTGCAGTGACATGTCTTTGGAAATGCTTCTTTCCTGTTAAGTTTTAGATTTGCCTCCCACCCTCGTCATCATTTTCTGACAATATGTATTTCTAAATTGCCAAAATGACTCCTTGTACTGTTATAAAGAACTCCCTGGATGCCGCTGTGGCCTGAGCTCTCACCCCGAGGACCAGGGTCAGCCCGTCATTTTTCGTGGATGTTTTTATGGATCATGATGGTTATTACCAAAGGAGTGGTTTTGGTTTTTTTTTTTTTTTTTACAATTTAGATGAGAGCAAGGATGATATAAAAAATTTACAATACAGGAATAGATTTAGACTTAGAGTCTTAACTTACAGAGAGTAAAAGTAAATTCAAGGGGAGAAATAAAGGCATAGGTAAGCTAAAATTGTATGTTTTATAGCTTAGAAATAGATGACCTGAATGTGAAATATATGCTGTATTGGATAGTAGAGAAAAGACAGAGAGAGGGTCGATACCAAATACCAGCAGTGGAAATGAATGCTGTTGGGAACAGCATGAGATGTGGTGTAGATGACGCTGTCAGGGCCCTATCCACACTCTGGACCTTCCTGTCTTCATGGTGGAGGCTGGGAAACTGCAGGGATCCTGCTTGAGACAGGTTCAAGTGCCAAGAAATAAACACCCTGGCCTCCCCCCGCCAAAGCAGTCTTAACCAATGGCTGATAAACACCCAGCTGCCTCACCTCATGGGTGAGACCGTTCTTCTGTGTGTTTCTCTGTCCTTTGTAGGCTGCTCTGTCTGCCTGAGCATCATGTTCACATTCCCTGTCCAGTGTTCCCTGAATCTCCCAAATAAACAACTTGGACTTGAATCCTCCTCTCAGGACCTGCTTCTGGGGGAACATGCACTTTCTTAAGCAGGCAGGTTCAAAAGTGATAAAGTCATCACCAAGTTTTAAAATTATTTTTCCAAGTTGAATCTATGCATTGTTTTGTTGGGTATCTTCTTGTACTGCTAAGGTTGCTTCCTGCCATCTTCTCTATGCTCAGTTTCATGGTTCAGGATGTTAACTTTTTTTCTTTTTATTGAATTTATTGAGGTGACACTGGTTTACAAAATTATACAGGTTTCAGGTGCACAATTCTACAACACATCATCTTTACACTGTATTGTGCATCCATGACCCCAAGTCATTCTCCGTCCATCACCATTTATCCCCCCTTTACCCTCTTCCACCACCCTCCTCCCCTCCCCCACTGGTAATCACCACACTGTTGTCCATGTCCATGAGTTTTTCTTTTTTTCTTTAATGCTCAAACCCTCCACCCCTCTCCCCACCCAGCCCCCACTGACAGTTGTCAGCCTGCTCTCTGTGACTGTTTTGCTTGTTAGTTCATTTTGTTCATTAGATTCCACATGAGTTAAATCATAGGGTACTTATCTTGACCTAACTGGCTTATTTCACTCAGCATAATGCTCTCCAGGTCCATCCATGCTGTTGCAAAGGGTAAGATTTTTTATTTTTTTACAGCCAAGTATTATTCCACTGTGCACATGTACCATAGTTGTTTTATCCACTCATCTACTGATGGGCACTTAGGTTGCGTCCAGCACTTGGCTATTGTAAATTGTGCTGTGATGAACATTAGGGTGTATAGGTTCTTATGGATTAGTGTTTCAGGGTTCTTAGGATATAATCCCAGCAGTGGAATTGCTGGGTCAAAAGGCAATTCCATTTTTAGTTTTCTGAGGTAACTCCATTCTGTTTTTCCACAGTGGCTGCACCAATCTGCATTCCCACTAACAGTTCACTAAGGTCTCCTTTTTTCCACATCCTCACCAACACTTGTTTGTTGATTTACTGATGATAGCCATTCTGATAGGTGTGAGGTGGTATCTCATGATGGTTTTAATTTGCATTTCTGTGATGATTGGTGATGTTGGACATCTTTTCATTACATCTATTGGCCATCTGTATATGTTCTTTGGAGAAGTGTTTATTTAAGTCCTTTGCCCATTTTTAACTGAATTATTTCTTTTTTGATGTTGAATTTGACAACTTCTTTATAAATTTTGGATATTAGTCCCTCATCAGATGTATCACTGGCAATTCTGTTCTCCCATTCAGTGAGTTGTCTTTTCATTTTGTTGATGGTTTCCTTTGCTTTGCAAAACTTTTTAGTTGGATGTAGTTCCATTTGTTTATTTTTTCTTTTCCTTCCTTTGCCTGAGGAGATACATCAGAAAAAATATTGCTGTAAGAAATGTTCAAGGTATTACTGCTTATGTTTTCTTCTAGGATTTTTATGGTTTTGAGTCTAAATATAACTCTTTAATCTGTTTTGAGTTTTTATCATGTATGGTGTAAGATGGTGGTCTAGTTTCATTTTTTTGCATGTATCTGTCCAGTTTTTCCAACACCATGTTTTGAATAGACTATCTTTATCCCATTACATGTTTTTGACACTTTTGTCAAATATTGACTATAAAGACATGGGTTTATTTCTAGTCTCTCTATGCTGTTCCATTGATCTATTGAATATATGTCTCTTTTATGCCAGTACCAGGTTGTCCAATATGTCGGCATAGAGTTGTTCATATTATTTTCTTATAAATCTTTGCTTTTTTTGGTGTCAGTTTTTACTTCCCCTCTTTCATTTCTGATTTTGTTTATTTGGTCCTGTCTTTTTTTTTTCTTGATGAGTCTGAGTCTGGTTAAAGGTTTGTCAAATTTGTTTATCTGTTCAAAGAACCAGCTCTGGGTTTCATTGCTCTTTTGTATTGTGTTTTTAGACTATTTCATTTATTTCTACTCTGATCTTTGTTATTTCCTTCAACTCATTTTGAGCTAAGTTTGCTGTTCATTTTTCAAGTTTCTTTAATTGTAAAGTTAAATTATTTGAGATTTTTCTTCCCTGAGGTAGGCCTGGAATGCTATAAATGTCCCTCTTAGGCCTTTGCTGTGTCTCATATATTTTGGACTGTTGTGTTCTCATTTTCACTTGTTTCAAGTTATCTTTTGATTTCTTCTTTAATCTAATTGTTTTTAAGTATATTTTATCAATTATGCTATTACAGTTGTCCCATTTTTGTCTCCCCTTTATTCCTCTTCACCCTTCACCCTCACTTCCACGAACATTCCCCCTTTTTAGGTCATATCCAATGGTCATACATATGAGTTCTTTGGTTTCTCCATTTCCTATACTATTCTTAACCTCCCCCTGTCTATTTTGGACCTACCAATTGCACTTCTTATTCCCTGTCCCCTTTCCTTCATCTCCCCACTTTCCCTTTCCACTGATAACTCTCCAAGTGATCTCCATTTCTGTGATTCTATTCTTGTTCTAGTTGTTTGCTTAGTTTGTTTTTGTTTTTTAGGTTCAGGTGTTGATAGTTGTGAGTTTGCTGTCATTTTACTGTTCATAGTTTTGATCTTCTTTTTCTCAGATAAGTCCCTTTAGCATTTCTTTCCTTCCTCCTTTCTTTCTTTATTTAATTTTTAGAGAGAAGGAAAGGGAGAGAGAAAGAAAGGGGGAGAAATATCAATGTGTGCTTGTCTCTAGTTCAACCCCTATTGGGGACCTGGCCTGCAACCCTGTCATGTGTCCTGACTCTGACCGAACCAGTGACCCTTTGATTTGCAGGCTGGCACTCAATCCACTTAGCCACACCAGCTGGGGCAACATTTCATATAATAAAGGCTTGGTGATGATGAACTCCTTTAACTTTAACTTAACTGGGAAGCACTTTATCTGTTCTATTCTAAATGATAGTTTTTCTGGGTAAAGTAATCTTGGAGGTAGGTCCTTACCTTTCATGACTTTGAATACTTCTTTCTGGCCCCTTCTTGCCTGTAAGGTTTCTTTTGAGAAATCAGCTGATAGTCTTATGGAAATACCTTTGTAGGGAACTGTCTCCTTTTCTCTTGCTGCTTTTAAGATTCTCTCCTTC